CCAGTAGCTAACATGTGCCACCAGTAGAGTCCCTACCTCTGATGTGGCTTAATGTTTACCGCTACACCTTACTGATGTGACTATAATAATTAACAGAGTTAAATCGAATTGTGCATAATGCATGAGTTGTGGCTGACACTTGAAGTGCAAAAAGATCGGAAGGGGACACAAGAGAGGATTAAGCCTTAGCCAAAAATGCACTTCAGAACAGGTGACAAGTAGACCCTTTGCAATTGCATGGACATTTGTAGTGGCAAAGTGCACGAGGCGACAGAGCTGCACAGGTTAGTTCCAAACAAGAAGGCATAATTTGTTTGTCGCCACTCTCCAGGGCTGCTGCTGCTATCAAATGGCAAGAGGGCACTTAGCCAACAGGACAGTAATGGACTGTTTGGGCTGTCACACTAGAACTAATGACAGGCACCAGTGAAATGGTTACACACACACTTTTTGAGGTTTTCGCTAAAAAACGTGGAGAAATGTAACGCACACTCTGCTGCACTCAGACTGCTAAAGTGTGTTTGTATACACAAATTTAGATTGCAAATGGCATTTTCTATGGAGTATATACCAGAGAGGTAGTTTCATATAGAGTCAGTCAATTATACAGAAAGAGAGAGAGTAATAATAGAAAGAGAGTGACAGAGACAGATGTGTGAGAAACAGACACATGTGTATAGGACAAATGAATCCCACTCAGGGCTGGTCATCAGGACTTAGTTTTCCTTTCTCTATTAAAACTACATGTTTGTGTTGACTTAAGGTCTCTTTAGACAGGTGGATCGCATTTCTAAGGCCCAACATGTAGCAAAGGCAGAACCCGATACTTGACATTCCATGAAAATGCCGGTGCTTTAAACAAGTATGCCAATCATGCAATTAGCACAAGGTTATGGAGAGTTGGGGAGTTCAACTAGCAGGAACTAAGGATTGGAGCAAAAACAACTAACGTCACTGGAAATGTTGTTGCTGAATGCACACAAATCACGGTGAACACTTGCCCCATCAACAAATACACTTTGCTAAGACGAAACAACGGATAGTTTTCTACTCTGAGATGGTTGTGGGATGTGCACACACATGGCTTTCAGTGCACGCGTGTTATTATGTCATGTTCCAGGGTAGTGCCTTACATATAATTGGGAGTGTCCCTTGTCTTTTCTTGCAAAAGCTGCCTATTATCTCATGTGCTATAATTGTGGTTGTGTTTGGCAGGTTTTTGCAGGAAAATCAGCCCCGAACCAGTATTGAGTAGACATGATCTGTCCCCCAAGTTGACATCATGACCAAATGCATATGCAGCTACCTAGTATCCCCAACTGGGCTGTATTGGACAGTGTGTGTAGGGGGGGAATTGTGGGAATGTGCTGACTACGCATCTCTACTCTCAAGTGTGCTTATTCATGATCAATGACTATACATGTATACATTGGGATCAAGCATGCCAATGCAGTAAGGGAGAAAGCATTGCACAACAGATAGTTCCAGAAATGTCCGTGGATGACCTACATACCTCAGCGAAATAATGTGCAACAAACTTGTGCCAGGTTGTGTTATGCACACCAATTTCCCAAGATTTGGATCATTTCCACAAAAATTTCCGGTCTAATTCCGAATAAGCAAATGTAACACAAACGATGTTCATGTACGTCACGTGTACATAAGTGTGTAATGCCAACCAGTGTGCACAATGATCTGGATAAGAATGCAACAATTCCTCATTTCAATGGCATAAGAAAGCACGTGCTGATGATATCACCAACACGATACGTGTATATGTACAGCACTGTGCCTAATGTGTACACATTACGATAGTGAAGAGTTGGGTAAGTCCCAGGGACTGGAGGAAACCATGTGCAATAGACATCCTGCAGGTAAGATCTTGCGGCAAAATCAAACTCTGCTAGCTATAGGTCCAATCAAACGGTATTGCAGTATTATACAGTTTGTGTATAATTTAGGCTAGACTGCTGTCTGCGGTGTGGGCATCTGACACTTACATCATCCCTGCCCTGTCTTGCATGTAAGGATGGCCTATAAATAGTAACACATGTTTGCCAATAGCAATGAGGTAATGCACATAATTATAATTATGCTAATAGAGTATAATTACCAGCATAGTGGCACTTAGATGTAAGTGAGCAATTAAATTTTCAAAACAAAACTACCTAACGGAACTTAGGTAAGTGGATAAATCTTAATAGGGTAAAGGTAAGAATGTGGTGAATTCAAGAAATGTCTGCGATGAATAAGGAAAGGGTAGTGGTGCAGAAGCCAGGCGTGCAAAGCTAGTTTCATTTCACGCCATGGTGACCAAGTGACAAATTAGGATGATGTAATCCATGGAAAACAAACTGACACATCATTGCCACACGAGACTATGATGTTGGAACCAGGTCATTCTACTGAGATAACATGGGAGGGATCATAATAACAAATTATAGAGCAGTGCTGCGTGTGGAGCAGTGTATAAATCCTTATAATAAAACCTATACATGTATTCTGGATGGAAGTATCCGTCATATTTTAGAATAGGCAGAAACATTGTGGTTAGCCTTTGGTTCACCGGCTACTTCACTAGCCCTCCTTAATGAAACTAATTTTGTTCGTTTCAAGCAGGTATTGGTTCGTTTCATTCTAGGCAGCAGAGTGTGTGACAAGAGTGGGAAAAGGTTAATTCCCACAACAGAAAAATCAAACCTAATAATAAACACACTCCCAGCCACCAAATGTGAAACTGACTGGATAATCTGTACATTGGAGACCACAGAAGCCACAAGCTATAATTGTGGTGGTTTTTGGGAACAGGTGAAAATGAAATTAGGGTTCTCCAGGGCTAAGCCCACCCTTCCAACCCCCTCACACATACTAATGTATACACCGCTGTATTTTTACACACCTCAGTGCTTTCACTTCCATTCAACAGTACCCTCTTTCCCAGTCTCCCCTACAATTTCAAGGAAAGTGGCTTCGACTGGGAAAAAATGTGACTGCTACACACTGTTGAACATCTAAAGTGCAAACCTTCAGTGCAAGGAACAGGTTAGCATTGATCTCACAAGACACATTGCATAAAGGACAGCTAAATGATGGGCTGGGCTGGGCCCACACCACGCGTGGTGTAGCCACACCCACGAGCGGGAGCGTTTCTTGTCATTATTCACTCCACGATACAATACGTAGAGCAATTCGATTTAACGCACAGTTATACGAGAAAAACAATAATAATTATTATGTCATTATAATACATGTATATACACAGAGAAGTAATGCAAGGACAAACAAAAATAATGTGATACATTTTTGTAAACATGCGAGATAAATACTACATAAATAGACAAGTTCCATGATTACTGAATACACTCTTGTGTATATATTTGAACACTAGGAATAAACTTTTGAGCTAAAAATGTATACAACAGACACTGACGGAGGGTCTTCTAGGACTGTGTCGGTGGAGGTGACGATTCACTCTTATTGCTGTTCCGGTATCTGATGAATGAGAGAACACATGACGTCCCTTAAACCCTGACGCCCAGCGGTGTTTCGATAAAAAGGTTTGGATATGTGCGTATAGATTTTGTGTACGTTTAACAGTTCCGCTTCCCACTTCTATTGCTAAAGAAACTCCCAGAACACATTAGGAATGGATACATATATACTTGTAAATGTAAGAGCATTTCTCAACTTTTAAAATAATTATCATTTTAACCAAGAGTGTGTGCATACATTCTCAGAGTTGCCGTACAGTATAGGATGTCATGGAAGCAGGCCATCAATTACTATAGGAATTCATGTTTACTTCCATATTGTACATAATTACGCAGTATGACAGCCAAGAGGGGGAAAGGAATGACGTAAACAGGACACCCAATCCTATGCTACTAAACAGGAAGGGAAAATGATATCAAAGAGACCTGTATATGTAGGTACCAAGGTTTCATTATGGTTAAATTATGTGAGGAGAAATCAGGGGTGCTTCGAGGATGGCTGCTAGATCATCCTGGAATCACCCGAATTCTGAAGTGAGAATTTCTAGCAAAAAAGGGGAAGCATCCCCTTGTGGAATGGTCCACATAAAGTTATTATGGCACGGGTAAAGGCACACCATTATAAAAGAGTCAGACGCATCTTCTCTGGGAGAGGTGCATTCCGGTCAAAACTTATCACTGCATTCAACTCAGTAATACTGTGGCAGGGTATCCCAGTGCCTCATTCCCTGGCAACACTACACAAACCCATACACACATAATATAGCAAACGTGTCAATTTCAGCACATTACTCAATGTGCAACTGGTACTAATTAATCCCAAGGCACTCTTTTCTCCAGAGAGATAATCTACATCACTATATACACTCACACCAAAAGACCTTACAAACAGATCATATTTCAAGAATGTAAAATGAATGGCGTCACTGTTGTTATCTTACTGCCATATTCGGTAGAGCTGAAAGAATCCAGTGAGTGCCACAAACACGTTCACAGCAAACAGATTGTAGATGATTGGGTCGATCACCAGCGAATACCTGGCCCAGATTGTCCCTGTAATCACCAGGAAAGATTACATCATCAACTTTGACATCGTCTGCATACTCGAGCAGTTTAGCATTTCGTGTAGCCATATTGCATTGCTGTTTGCATTCCATGCATACCTGCTGTTTGTCACAACATACACAAGCATTTTTATTAAAATCAAGCCAGTGTAGCACTGAACCTGTTACTATCTCTTTCTGGCCAATATCTTGCGTGTGGTGACAGAAAATGTGGTAACAGACAGACAGACACACTTACAAACCAAGTACCGTAACCCTCGCTGCGCATGCACGCGGAAGGTTAATAAGGATTTGGTATTCCACACACAAGAAAATTATTGCAGATTGTTAACCACAAACTTCCTGTGTCAACCTCAAAGGTTTCCTGTATTCCTATGAATGTGTATGTACATACATGGATTCTCTACAGTTTTATATTGGTTCATCAATTGCCTAGTACAATAGACCCAAAGAAATCTTTCATCAATCCAAAGTAACCTTTTGCACGTGGCTCTACGGACCACGAATCTTTACTGGAGTTTTTTCCCTGTATATATATATACAATGGTCAATGGTCTAACCTGTGGCAGCCAGGGCTCCAGACTGCTGTAAACTGAGCTTCTCTGCCGGTCGTGTGACATCAGCCAGCCCTGCAACAACCAGCCCCTGTGGTGTGCAGATAGACAGTGTGTAATGGTACTTAGCCAGAGTGTCCAGAGCATTAGCCCAGGAAAGCTTGATTCCCTGTTGCAGATCTCCAACAAAATGCAATACTGGTGGTCATCATGTAAAGCCCTTCTCTGGTCTCCCGTAAGCAGAGACAGAGCTCGTGGAGGGCAGCTTCAGACATGCTTTTCTTCGTTTAGTCAGCACAGGCAAGAGAGGCATGCCTCCAGCAGCTAAGAACTGCTGAACAGCAAATTTGTTTTGAACTCTGCTAGCGAAAAAATGGTCACCCACCGAATCAACTTCAAACAGGGCTAGGAAACTTGTAGAAGGTAATGGGGCGTAAGATATTGAGTGTCAGCTGGAAACACAATAGGGACCATTCATTATTGCCCAGCTGATGGGCCTTTAGGTGTTAACATTTTTATGTGACTGCCAGATGAATCACTCACCCATTTGAAGGTTGGAGCCCAGAAGAAGATGGTCTTTGGTCCTGCAGTAAGTTAGTTTAGCAAATGTGTGTGTGTGTGTGTGTGTGTAGGGAGGGAGAGACTATAGCTACAGCTGTGGAGGCAAACCCCACAGTAGTCTCGCGTAACCAGGCCATTTCTGGCTTGCCCCAAGTCACAAACAACGGAACCATATATCTGTTAACACTCATATTTGTGTGTGTGTCGCTTGTCGCAAGCAAACGGAATACCGGCAGCGTGGTTGAGGAAGTTCCGAGCCGTTTTCGGCAGCCTCTGCTCGAAACGACCCCACACTCTCGACACAGACCTCGCCACGGCGGCCATTATCAGTAGTCACGGAGCCAGGGGCGGGGGGGTTCAGTAAGAGAAGGGGAGGAGGAGCCTTTGCGAGAGATGACGCCTGCGGATGACGTCACAGCACGTGACAATTTGACCTCTCTGAACTCCCATTCGTCGCCGACGAAGGATCGGGAAGAGACACGTATAGGACGCGGCGACAGGTCAAAAGCTAGTAACAGGCGTCGTGAAAGAAAAAGATGAGTGCAAAAGACAACGCCTTTAGTTTCCTGCCCATGGATCTAAGCGGGAAGCTCATCATCAAGGCCAGACTGGGGGAGGACATCCGGATGGTGCCCATCTTCAACGAGGACATCACCTACGACGAGCTACTTCTCATGCTACAGAGAGTCTTCAAGGGCCGCCTCAGCCCCACAGATGATGTCACCCTCAAGTACAAAGATGAAGGTTGGCTTTTATCTTGTCTAACAATGGTTCTCCCCCTCCTGTTTACCTTTCCTTTGATTTGGTCTAATTACTGAATGTGAATCATGTTTTTCTACTCCCACTTAATTTCCCTTCATACCAACCACTTTCATGTGGTCATGTGATGAAACTAGGGTTAACTGTCTGTATGCTATAGCGCTATAGCTATAATGCTGCATTGTTGGAGCTAAGAAGTGTATATACACCTCTCTAGCACTTGTCTGTGTACTGTTTGGAGATACCCATCAATTAGCAACATGGGCCTGTGTGCATGCAGACACAGGAGGATTGCACGAAGGGTTTGCACTTCAGTATGAATTATAGAGTATTGAACTTGCCCCTGCCAAGTATTGGGTGTGGTCTGGTGGATAAGACCCCAGAGACTGGATCCTGATGTCAGGGGTTCGATCCCTGTCTGGGGTCATTTTTTATAATGATGTAATGAGAGCGCTCATATAAGAGGAACGTTTTTCCATCACCTCTCGTGGCCAGCCCAAGTGGCTAAGTGGTTAGAGACGTGGGGACTGTCACATAAGGTGCCCGGTTCGAATCCCGGACCCGCACTGAAACTCACAGGTGGTCCAGAGCATTGGCTGGGAACAGCTCTGGTTCCTCCCCTTACCCACGAATCTACCACTGACCCACATACATCTCAAAGGACAGCGTATAGTTCGGCATAGCACTGCGTCCGTAGACGTCTGTCTGGAGAGATGTTGGGTGGCTTTTTTTTTAACCTTAGATTTTTATAATTTTCCATGGATAGGTTGAAGTGGTGTGTAACATTCATTTATATTTTTGTCAACACTTAGAATTTGGTTTTGCCTAAAACAATCCATGGATAAGTTAAAATCATGTATAACATTCATTACTGCATGGCCAGTAATGTCAACATAACTTTTTCTGATTTATCTCTATTACCAATTGTTTGGTGTATACAGAGAGTTATTAAAACCCCTATTAACCCTCACCTACACAAATCAATGTCTTTGGTCAAAAAATAGTGCCACAAAACTACCACTCTTCACAAATGAGTTTGTGCCTAATGGAGGGTGTGCTATCTACTAGTGTAGCTAGCCTATGTCCGACTCTCCTCGAGCTACTAGCGGGAGACCACTAGTATTAAACACACACTCATAGTCCAGTCCATCAATAAGCGGCGTTGTGTATGCTCAGTGTGTCAAGAATGTTTAGTGTTTACTAGGGGTTTTATTTTTTCAGATGGGGATCTAGTGACGATAGCAGAGAGCTCGGACCTGAATCTGGCCAAGCAGTTGAGTCGCGTTCTCAAGATCAACGTTTTCAGTGAGTCTCTCCCAACCAATGCACTGTTAACACAGGTTGACATTACTGAGTCAGAACATCATCAATGTTTCAATGCCTGCTTTCAGATTTGCTATCATTCCAGTAGGTGTGTTCCTACTATTGCGGCCCTGAAACTGCAAATGTTGTCAATATACGTAACTCTTTAAGCAATAAGTGTTCTGTATATATGTATGTGGCAGTTCCATGTACATACCTATGGCTGGTATGCTATGAATTATAATTTCATACAATATAGTGTTCTATCTGATATTGTGTGACTGCTGCAGTCCATGGTCGCGAGCCGCTGCCGACACTCGACTCCCACGAGGTGCAGGAGGTGAGACGAGAGCTGTGTGTGATACGAGACAAGGTGAACACCATCCTGGACTCCCTGGACGGCAAGTCAGGGGGCACCACAAGAGGGGCCAGGGGTGGCTCTACCTTGTCTCAACCTCAGCCTTCTTCATCCACCACGCAGCCTGAGCCCACCTCCACTAAGATGAAAGGTAAACAAAGATCCTAGTATCAAAATATTATGATGGTGACACGAAATTCGTGAAATTGCGTATGAGCGAATTCTCGCATGGATGACTGAAGGTGCGTATGATGTCTCTTAGTATAACCAGATATGGGCCCATAGACTATTACTAGTGTGTTTTGAAGGCCTAGGGAGTCATTCTCACTGACTTTTCAATAAGGCAGCTCCTTCACAGCTGTGCATGTATACATAGTGGCATCAAAGGAGTCTTGAGCCTGTGAACTAGCATCTTTGTTTTTGTTTGAAGCAAGCTTGTGGTGTGTTCAGCTACAGTGTAAGTATATACAGAACAGGTGGCAGGAAATGGGAGTGGGGTTTAGAAATGAACAGGAAAAGTTTGTGTATGGACACATGAATGGTGAATGTATACTCCCTTCCTTCCTTTTATCTCTATACTCCCTGACCACCACCAGAGTGCTCAACAACCCTGTCGGGCCCAGCATCATCCTCTACCACTGCTGCTGCCTCGATTTTCGACCCCCTCAAGACTGCAGCCATCACTTCTAGCACCACCTGTGAGTTGACTAACACAAGCACTCACGCCATACAGGCACTATAGCCCAGAAAAGATGATGCCCCATCTGTTAGCTTTCTAGATTGGGTGAGCAGGTGCATACAGTGCACCTGATAGACTGCCCCATCGTTAAGTAGTTCTGTATCTGTTGCACACAGTTAATGTCTGCCCGTGTGTATCAGGTGAATAGAATCAGAGACTAGGAGTGGCATGATCCTCATAATCGAATTACAATTCACTACCTTTATTCTCACTTCCTCTCGTTCTCCCCCTCAACCCCCATCTCCCTCGCACACTCTCCCTTCTCCCTCCTCTCCCTCTACAGCATCTGCATCTTATATTTTCTCGTCAGCTGACCACGGCTCCCAATTCCTCCCAGCCCAGGGGCAGACACCCACATCACCACCTCAGACCCAGCAACAACCAACACAGCAGCCTTTCCCGGCTCAAGACCACCAGCTTTCCTCCAACACTCCAACCGCCTACGGAGGGACACAACAGCAGCAGGGGACGTCATCGGCCCCACATGACAGCACAGCTGCTGCCTACTATGCCCAGGGAGCTCAGCCAACGCAGCAGAGCTCACAGCAACAGCCACAGTACACTAGCTACCAGCTGCAGACAGGCCAGGTTCCGGGGCAGGCTCAGGGTTACCCCAGTTCATCCACTACTCAACAGCAGCAGGCTAGTAGTATGGGGGTGTACACGTCGCAGGTTTCTGGCTCCATGAACATGCCTACCCCAAACCCTACTCCCCCACCGTCGCAAGCATCCATCGCCCCGGCAACTGGGGTATCTTACCTGTATCCCCCAGGGTCGACAAACCCCGGGGTACTTGGTGCACCAGCTACAGGTGGCTATGCAGCAACTCAACAGCAATTATACAGCCAGCCGCAGGCGGCAGGATACTCAACTGGGTTTGCAAAGAACTACACACAGCGGGCCTACCAAGCCTACCCGAGACAGTACTAGCCTCATATTATCTGTACATTATAATACAGGGAAAATCTCTTGTTAGGTGAATTTGTAATGGTGTACACTCGCTGTGATGTGTGCAATTTGATCTGTCGTTAGTTGGATGTCTCGAAGCTTCCTACTATGTGTATACTGACCATTCTTTGATGTGTTCTGCATATATTATTTTGCATGCGCTCGCGGCAAGAGTTTACTGCAACAACAAAGTGGTATCAATCACAAGGTGTTATTATTAACTTTGTGTTGGCCACAATACAGCACAGGAATTTATTACAAGCGAAGGAGACACACCTGTTGAACAATATGCAATGATGATAAAAATTGAAAATGATACAAAACACACTACCACAAACACAACATATACACACACAAACACACAATCAACTACAAAAAGGCTCAAGGAAATCTCTGAGCAGGTCTTTCTCAGCCGCACTGATCTGAACTGTCTGCTGGTGCCCACTGGAGACATGGTGGGCTTTTATTGGAGACTCGCCGGTGACGGTGTGTGATTGGCGAAGACCCCAGGGGTTATGGGGGGTGAGGGAAGTGAAGAACGGCGCAAGTTCCCGGACGGAAGTGATTCTGTGAAGTCCTGGCAAATTTACTCCCCCTTTAGAGTCATCTCTTTCCATCCCTTCAACCTGTACATACAGACACACATCAACAACCTCTATAGTGCATTATATATAGCATAACCAATTTCCCCAGCCTCTCCCATGTATATATAATATATATGTGATAAAATGGCAGAGAAGGTGACCATCATTTATGTAGGGACAAAAATGGTAACGTCTGAATTAACAAAGCATGATTGGATACTTCACACTTCCATCAGCTAAGTCACTTACGGTAATGGTTCAGCCCTATATAGGAGATTTATATTAAGTAAATGAAGGGGGATAGGCTATCCCCATAGAGTGTCTACTGACACTCATAATATACGCTTATGTCACACATTATCAAGAACTCTTGGTGCTTATTGGCTGACAGGGGTGTGATATGATGATAATGAGAGGGACTAACAGTGGAGAAGAGGGTGCAGATCCGGTACACAGGTCCCGTTCCCAGACAGGAAGTTGACATGGAATGGGGACTCCCTACATCACTGAACCCCCACTGCAGACTGAGGAACAGACACACACAAACACACACATGAGATATCCTGAGCTGCCACTTGAATGTTTTCTTGTGCAATGTTATCAAACGATGAATGCATGCACAGACGAATTTACACATTTTTTAAAAATTGTTATGGATATTGAACACATCATATCGAACTATTACTCCCATACCTCGACAGAGCTAATACCACACTCTTCTGTCAAAGTTTTTACAGTATCTTAATGTAGGTGGAGCTCATATAATGTACAAACTGCAACCTGGAGATGGGCCAAGGTCTATATTATGCACCATAACATTACGACATATCGAACTGCAGTAGGAAGTGTTACACAACAGGATCACTGGCTTTACGTCACTTCATATCCTAGTGTACACTCATAATGAACATTCCACACCCACCAGATCCACTTCCAGTTCTACAGGGGCCATTTTAATGGGAACAAAAGCTCTTCCCAACACACCACCTAGGACATGAAATGGGAACTACACCCACACTTACATGGGGATTTATTACCTTTAATGATCACCTATCATAGCTATGTATGATGGCAGGTGCCCATCCCTATATACTAAAGTACTACAGTAGGTAGTGATGGTATGCAGTGAGTCTAGGGGATGAAGGGGAGTTTTTTGGTAAGTGTTTACATGGAGTTGGAAATGAGGGAGGAAATGGGTATGCACTAAGTACCTGCCAGGTGCCCATCCATTATACTAAAGTACTACAGTAGGTAGTGATGAGTCTAGGGGATGAAGGGGAGTTTTTTGGTAAGTGTTTACATGGAGTTGGAAATGAGGGAGGAAATGGGTATGCACTAAGTACCTGCCAGGTGCCCATCCTATATACTAAAGTACTACAGTAGGTAGTGATGGTATGCAGTGAGTCTAGGGGATGAAGGGGAGTTTTTTGGTAAGTGTTTACATGGAGTTGGAAATGAGGGAGGAAATGGGTATGCACTAAGTACCTGCCAGGTGCCCATCCCTATATACTAAAGTACTACAGTAGGTAGTGATGGTATGCAGTGAGTCTAGGGGGGTGAAGGGGAGTTTTTTGGTAAGTGTTTACATGCAGTTGGAAATGAGGGAGGAAATGGGTATGCACTAAGTACCTAGCAAAGGGATTGGGAAATACAGTAGTATATAGCTAGAAGGGGATGCAAGAGGAATAGGGAGTAACTGAGGGAGTGTAAAAAAAACATAAAGGAAGGATGTACAATGGGATGCAAGAGGAAGTATGGCAAAGAGCTGTTCCTCAAGGCAGCTTTCTAGAGTAGTACAAAAGGAAGTGGGGACATCAACTTTTCTTGTGTCTAGCTTTTGTAATGAGGTAATTCACATTGGCTAAGGGAAAGTCCCTGATTTACACAATAGTGTATATACAAGAACAGACCCAGGAAACGGGAAACAAACAGTGGCAGTGAGCAACTCTAAATGTACACGTAACTATAGAGGGAAGGGAAGTGGTAATTGGGCATATAGCCAGGGCCAGTCAGCCAGGGCCAGTCAGCCAGGGCCAGTCAGGCTCAGGCAGGATAAGGAAGTGTCTAAAAGAAACAGCTCATTTGGGAAACATTTGCTTATAAACAAACCGCACCAACAGGAGGCAAGGAAGTGATTAAAAGGTTATGTAGACATTGCGCAAGATTGTGCATTCAGAAGTACATGTAATGCTACGTGTGTTTCTGTGTTACCATTTTTGGGCATAATGCTCACAGGCAAACATAGCGGACATGATAGACTTTACACGTACTACCAGAGATCTGTCACATAACAAATGTATGCAAGATTGTTATTACATCACTGCACATATTACGAATTGCAATTGCAGAAACTAATAATTGTAGCAATTTTCAGCTACTGCATCCGGCTGGACTCAGTCTTAGCAATGCTCTACTACCCGGTCATGTGGATATACATATTTAGTCAAGCAGGGTCGGTAATTGGTGCCGGTCGATGCTTATGTCGTTGTTGCAATCATGAAAAACAAGTGATGCTAGGGAAACCGACATAGCGACTGGATAAACAAGGAACTATAAACTTGCCAAGCTATACACCACTAAACAGACGAAGGTAAAAAAACACCAATTCTAGAATATAAACTAAAACAATTTCACAAACACTGTTTGCGGGCATGCGTGGTGCTAAAACCAAAGCATGCACAAAAATGCATTTGCAATCACATGAAATTCGTGAAACTTTATGAACACAAAAATTGTAAGTTTATACAGTACACGCCATTATATCACTATATATATATACGTACTACTGGAAGTGAGGGAGGAAGGTGTGAGGGAGGGAGGAGGCCGTATGCAGCAGTTTGGCGACGGAGAGGTAGAGACGGAGCTGGGCTGGGGAGGACACCACCTCCCCAGCCCTCGACTCCTGGACCAAGTCTCCCTCCATCTCCTGCAGTACTGAGAGCTGCCGTGGTGCAGCAGTGGGGAAGACAGGAAGATAATTGGCGAACCCACCCAGACGTCAGAAAGCGGGATTATTCTATGCATATTTATTATGTTGTGACCCGCACTGCGGCACAGGACATACAGTATGTGATTCTTAATACGTACAAAAACACGCGCCAAAATTTGAACTGTTCACACTTCTAGTATGTTGAGTTAGCAATGGATAGCCTCATTACTGGTGTACACTGGGGAAAAAGGGATAACCTCATGAGTTATTCGGAAAAACCTCTTGTTATTGCTTGTTTGGCTGGTAGCCCCTATTCAAGCTATAGAAAGTCCCCAATGACTGGTAGCTGAGTAGAGTAAAACATGTAGACTCTATATTAAAAAGAGAACAGACGGCTCACTCACAGTTTCAGAGACAATGGCGGGCCAGAAGGAGAGGAGGTGAGTGGGAGAAAATCTCAGGAGCAGAGTCCTGAAACCCAGGAAGACGTCCGAGGTCACCACCGGATGACGCTGGAGCTTCAAACAGTCCGACAACTTCTCTGTGTGGTTGACAGGGGAGGGGACAGGTCCAGTTACAGAAATTCCCCTATTCAAGCTATAGAAGTCCCCAATGACTTGAGCTGTTTACATAATAAGGAATGTGTATGTAGCTCTACAAGTGAGTATACAACAAGTAACTATGCATGAATTGAAGGTGGCTTTTTGTATTTGGGTGAGGATTATCCATTCAGCCAAGCTCTATGAGGCAGCTCTTGCGACATTGACACACCTTTTGAGCCCCTGGGAAGCTAGTGTCTGTGTGTGTGTGTATGACTTGAAGTCACAAAGTCGGACCATTATTGTAACAACTGTGTATATATGCGTAACCCCACCAGGGAAGCAAGAGGTTGAGGGATTTGAATCCCAGCTGGTGTGTTTTTCTTTCCTTTCTATCATTCTCTCTCTCTTTCTGACTACGCACTCTTCACCATTCTTTCAGTCTACACAGGTGTGATATGTGCAGAATAATTAATCTGGTAACGCTGTAAGGAAAGCTCTCTGTGTGCCAGCGTTTACATTACCCACTTTACGCATCCAGTATGATACACTGTGTGATGTGTACATCATTATCATTACCTTGTATATCAGGGAGGTAGGTGGTGTACTGATCTGTCTCGGCTGAGAAAATGGCAAATGCCATTCTCTTTACAATCCTGGCCGTATTCTGTGCTTCCTACACATAATATGAAACACGGCTGGTACTGTACTGTACGTATATCTGGTTGACACTGCAGTACGGGCGAACAAAACACAATACGTTACTTGGGTTAAAAGCACTATAGCACCAACTCCTCCATTCAGGGTGGACGTGGCCATGAGGAACCTACCAGTTTTCACGAGGAAAAGATGTAGGGCAAGACAAAATGCAAGAGGGGCCTATACAAAAGAGAGCTTGGCTTGGCATATGGTAAAGTAATTGTGCACGTTTTTTTTTGCTACATGTGGTGATTTTGGACCGACAAAGATTCGCGATTAATGAACAATTGAATTCTTCATCAGCGGCATAACCATCTTATGTCTGCATGTACAAAAAGTTTTTACAGTGGAAATAACTCAATACGTTGTTAGGTGTTGGTAATACGCAGCCACTTTAGACAAGGGTCGCCTGCTTCCCAAAAAGCTTCACATTCCATTGTCTGGTGGCTGATATGTACACACATTGTGACAGCCAAGCATTTGGGAGTGTGTCACTGTGGTAACACAACCAATGGCGGGTTGCATGGCAACCACCAATGCATTTTGCACCACACGTATAGCAAGCCCATGTAAGTGCTAGGGAAGCCTTTATGTCACCATCTTTCCGGTTTGGTCAGTTTTCTTCTTTCTTTCTCTGCATAGCGTGAGCTGTTAGTTTACAAATGGAGTGGTGTACGTACTGTATAATAATGGCTCTGCAGTGGGGTTGAAAGGAAGTGAGAGGGCAGGGAAATGAATCAGAGTCACGTGTTTACAACCTACTTCCCTGTGAGATGATGACACGTCATGTGAACACATTAGAGTATAGAGACATTATTGCAATGTTGTTTCCTCTTTCCTGTGTTTTGAACCACCTCCGAGTGCCAAAATCACATCTATTATACCGCCACTGACCACCAATACTTCCTATACCACTATCTTGTATATCGTATGTACACCACTACTACTGTTACTGAAAGGAAGTGAGATGGCATAAGGAAATGAATCAGAGTCACAGGTTTACTGCTTCCTCGAACCAACTGGGCTCAGGTAAAATAACTATATATATATATCGTCTCACAAGCACTCCTTAAAGCTACACTACTGCCTTGCGTTTTTGGTATATGGACACATGTTAACATCGGTAGAGTATACAGACAATGTGTTTTTTCTAGCTATGTCAATGGTTTGTGGGAGTATCAGTGTATTAGTAGGAGCCACCCCAAAATCAACACAGAACACGTGTTACGAAGAAACCAGGACGTAGCGACGTGGCTACAAATGATACTTGGCCACATTGTACACAATAGCACCAACACTAGTCTAGAGCACAGAGTGCATGCTAGTCATAGAAGCTGCACATAGATGTATGTATGTATGTATGTATGTATGTACCTGTTCGGCAGTGGTGAAGATATTGGAGAGACCAGGAGCCAGTCCAGGAGCCAGTCTTGTGAGGAGATCTCTGAATGTCGTCTTGTCCTGTGTCATCAGGTTGTCCACCAACACCTTCCATCTACATGTGGTACATTATTCACGTCAGGGGCGTAGCCCGGATTAAATCTTAGAAGGGGCAGAAATGATAAACTATTCGTGTTCACTTGCATGTGTGCGCAGAGACCAGTGATTACAAAAACGGTGATGCCCACAGTGATCCCAAGCTTGTAACATGCTTTTCGGAGATGTCTGCTCTTGATTGCTGGCAAAGACACTCAATCAGCTCTCACACGGCTCTGTTGCACCACTTTTACGGCAGATGTGACTGCGAGGTTGTAATAAATTATTCTCTCTTCTTCTACGCTAGCTATGCCCACGCATGTTGTGTTGTAGACTTGAGCCCTTGAGCCCTGGCAGAGCTGCCCTGGTAAGTAGCTCAGTTGGTACAGCAATCCATCCCCTAGTGTTCTAGGTCCCACCTAAGACACTCTTTCTTCTCTGAAAAAAACTACGTTTTGTTGAATAGCTTGATACATACGTACTTGCCCTGCGTTGACACCTCTAGTGGACCAGGTTCTCTGACTTGGAGGCCATACTGGGGTAAAAACTTCTATATGGCATGAAGGAATTGAGGAATATTTATGGCCTATGAGTTAGTTGCCAAAATATATTTACGAATAAAAATTTCACGGGTTACTCCAGCCAAATTGTTGTGAGATTTGTGAAAACGCTACTACACAGTAGGTGTATTAGTTACTCACTCCTGCAAGCTCTCAAGTCTCATGACGAAAAAGTTGTTGGCCATGAAGAGGTCAAAGGTCTCTCGTCGCCATGCCTTCCGTGTGGCCTGGAACCCACTGAGGGAGGAGAGGAGTTGCACACTGCTGTGGTAGAGCCTCTGGGTCTCTGGGCTGCAAGTGGGGGAGGAGGGGGTGGCAGGAAGAGAACAAGTAGTGAATGGCAAATGATTCTTTTGGTATTGCAACTACTAAATGCCTGTCATTCCCTCTCCCTTCCTTATGCAAAGCCTCTGTAACAGACAACCAATCTAGTTGCTGTTTGGTTCCACATAGAACATTAGTTCATGGGGAAAGGAAGGACGTTCTATGGTGAGAATGGTGAAGAAATGGAGGCGGGGTTTATGCTGAAGGAGGGGGTTTTGTGGTACAGGAAGGGAAGGGGGTTATTATGGTGGAAAGGCATGTTATGATGGAGGGGATGGGAATATTTTTTGGACAACAAAAACAAGCACAGGGAACATCCCCAAATCTGATGTTTGAAAAAGCAAGGTACAAGTAGACAAACCGCAGGCTATACAACTTAAGGTACACTGTATGGTGTATACACCACCCATACTTGTTCATGCCACATACGTACACATGTCCCATACATACATACATGCTGTAAAATACCCCAGAGCGTATAGTTAGGCGAATGCAGGGCATTTTTGGTGAGCGGGAGCAAGCACACAATGACTGTATCTGCACGAGCCATCCTAGCCCTAGTTACAACTGAACTGCGAAGATTGGAAAGAGGTCAGCCTCAGTCAGGCACTGAAGAGTGTAGTGAATGCCGCCGAATGGACGAGAGTTCACACCATGGCTAGATCGCGCATTGAGGATGGAGGCTAGCTAAGCAGCGTGTAAAAATCATTTTGGATAAAAAGAAGCGCGTAATCCAAACGCATGCGCAGTTGGGTCGCTGGTTAACAAACACACTCCCATATTCATGTACAAATACAATTTCGGTTCCGCCCATTGCCGTGGGTGTACAGTCGATGTACTATGAGAGTAATGTACGTACATGTGTTACACTACCTGTGGTTCTGAAGGTGAGGCCAGATGTTGTGAAGAACAACTTTGAGGAGTGCCAGTATCTTTTCTTTCTCTGAGCTACCAAATACTCCATCAATGAAGTGAGACACAGTCTGTCGAAGGAGAGGGGGTGGGGAGAGAAGGAGGGTGAAAAGGCAGGAGGGGGAATACGGGGAACCCTTTCTAATTAAAGGACACCGAGCTTCCTCTCTACTAAGGACACCTTTTCTTCCCTCCAGAACAAATACTGATGTGATTTAACACCTGGAATAGCATTAAAGTGCAAACCGCTGGTGCTAGGAACGCGCGCGCAAGCGTTAATGTGTACACTTTAGCATAAATAATTGGATGGGACGGGCTAGGCAATCCTGCATGCTGAAGACTAAGCATGCTTGCTTCACTCGCCAATTATGTCACAGTGAGTAGCTCACAGAGGCTAGCACAGCGAGAGCCTGTGCTCCTGGTGAGACATCTATTGCATTCCTCTGCTGTCTCCTGGCAACGGTGGACCCAGGCGGTTGTTGCAATGTGGCGATGGATGACCTTATGTGCCCGGCAATGACGTCTCCCTCCTCACTACCAGGTGGGTGAGATGGACTGTGGTGAGCTGACGAGGGGCCGGCCCCTTGTTGTTTGAGAGACTAACGAATTGTTATTCACTGCAGATCCACTTTTCGGTTCACCAACCAACACCTGCACAGGTAGCAAATACACAGTGTCACAGGTGTGGACTTGAAGATGAAGTTGATGCCACTAGGCATATGTACAGTGTGTCATACATTACACGACACATAAGCAAGCAATTTTACTGCAACCTTTTGAAGCACATCATATGGTAGCTATTGTTACATTTGGCGAGCAAAGTGTGAGGAGCCTACCTAGTAGTTTCAATGCAGGAATTACCTTATCGGTCGGGCGCTGCACATACCGCGATGTTCTACGTGATTCTAAATACGCGCAAAACACACACGAAATATTGAACTGCTCGCGCACGCTCGCCAAACAATGCGCTCCATTTCTCTAGTACAGAAGTTTACTCCGCGAAATTGCTCTCACAAACTTTCTGAAACTGCTCGTTTAGAAAAAATATTTTCTTTGAAAATTTAGCCTTTCTGTTAGAAAACTGTGTCCCATACATTGAACATTGTAGGAACAATAAAGGAGAGGATTAGTAAGTAGAGAGGAACTGTTAAACAGTAGAGAACCTTTGGAGGTTGTATCTTCTGGGACATGTTCAAGTCAGAGTGTTCCACTATTTCAAAGCCGTCTCTGGCAGTCTGAGAGTGTCTGGTTGAGGTGTCGGTAGTGGTGGGAGGAAGTGGAGGGAGAGAGGGAGGAGAGGAGGGGGAAGGAGGTGGGTCATTGGATGGAGGTGGAGAATAGCCAGCGGCTGAACTCAGCACCTCACATAACTTCAGAGTCAAATCCTGGTGAAATACGTACGCACGGCAACACAAAATCATTACTGCTGCATGTGTAACACACACAATAATATGTGTATATACCCAACACTGTAGGTCAGAGATCTCTCTGTGGTTAATAACTGGACATCCCAGTTTTATGTAAGTTAATAGTGCAGCATTGCTGTGCTGTATGTACCTGAAGCTCTTTTCTCTCTTTCTTCCCTCTCTTTTCCAGTCCAGGTACCCGACAGATGATAGACATGCAGAATGCTGCAGCATGGCAGTACAGTTGTAAAGAAAAGACCACGCCTTCATACACGAACAAACTTACACCTTATGGCTACCGTACATACAGACAGTTATATTTTGTCTCAGAAGTTCAGTGAAAGGTATATGTACCAATCTACAATTCCACACGGCCTAGCAACAAAACTAATGCAAACCTGGCCAGCATGCAGAGGAGGTGACAGTTGTTCTGGAGGCTCTCTGAGGTTCCGTTGTAGCACTGAGTGTAGCAGTCTCTGAGGAGGAGTACCACGATTGAGTGACAGCCAGCCAGCTCCTCCCAACTCTGCAGTGGACTAACACACACACACACACACACACACACACACACACACACGGATACACACATAGGGATACACAGTAACACACAGAAAAAGATACAAAATGGCTTGAGAGCCTTATGTAATGCACACATACTACAGACACAGTATTGGCAAGCAAGCACGAGTGCAAAGTTCTACATAACTTTCAGTGTTTTATTGTGCATTATGGTATGCACAGCGCGAAATAAGCATTTAGAGGACTACAGTTAAGTAGGCTCGCTTCACTCACCAACAAGTCATGGTCTACTGCTACATGTGTACATACTGTTTATCTGCGTTAAGTATGGGGAAATAGGACACAAAACTAAAGGTCGTGCAGGATGATGAAAAGTGAGTGGGTGGGCTCGGGGGTGCTGACAGACCTGCTGATGTACTTGTAGAGAAAGTGGAGGAGGTATTTCTGTCTGAGAGAGGAGGACTCGGGGTCCTCAGCTCTGCCCAGGTCCGAGAACGAGAACTGGACACTGCGGATGAACTGCTCCAGGGGCAACACCTGCACACACACACACACACACACACACACACACGGATTTCAACATTATATGTTGGTTATAGTTAATATGCTGCTCCTCTTGGTAAAGTATATGCATACAGCAAGAGCGCATGTGAGCATAGGTGCTTTTAGAATGCACAAAATAGAAATGTCTTTACTAACTACCATAGCCTGTGTGTACCTGGATGCGGTGCAACATGAGAACAAAGGCATCCTTCCTCTTGGAACTCTTCTTGCTGCTGGGATTGACTTTTGAATCCAAATCCTACACAAGGCAACAGTTACAAAGTTTCTGCTGAGTAAAAATGAGAGTGCACCACCGGTGGCCTAGTTTAGCATCAACAGATAGTATCGTCTGGTGTCAAAATTGTTGCGTGTGGCAAAGTATGGTGTACGGGTACTGACCCACTCCAGCCAGACGGTGGAGACGGAAGAGAAGAAGGTTGAGGGCTCACATGACGCCAGAGACCCCAGTAGACCCAGTACAAGACTCTCTACATCCTGCGAGTACATGTATAATGTGTATAGTAGTATATACCTAATTGAAGGGGCACTCCCACTAAGCTACAACAACACAGGGCTTCATATGACGGAGCATTCACTATCACAGTCTGCCGGGTAGAGTATTCATAAGCATACAAGTAACACAAGTTGATCATTGGGATATATACCACTGAGACTACCCACCTCATACTCTGCTCTTCTCTTCTCAATATGTAACCAGCCTCCTCCCCTCCCTCCTCCATCACCCCTCACCCTGTCGTTACCGTCTCTCTCGGAAGATTTCTTAACTCTACTGCTGAACCAAGTCCACACCTCAGTCAAGGCATTGTACACAGCAGGCAGCAACAGTCGAATCGAGCGACCCACTTTACCTTCGGACAGTCCCAGTTTCGGCGATCTTGCCCCGACCGGCGACGAGGCGGCCTTGTTCTGTCCACCACCGGCAAACACTCCGAGAAGCCACGACATTGTCGACGGCTGTTTCGAGGTGGGCGTGGACACTTCCTCCGACTCGTCCGAGCGGCTCACGTACTCGGCGTCCCAAAACCGGTTGAGCGAGCCGTGCTTAAGGGAGACACTCTGAAGGGGGAAATCCCCAAAGAGACAGCAGAGGATAATGTTCACCAGAGCCTGTACGTTGCTCACCACGGCCATCCCCCCACTACTGGTCTCGGTGCTCTCACGTGACGTCTCCTCCTTGCTCCTGGATTTACCCTCAGCCACACCCACCTCGAGGTTTCGGCACAGTTGTCGCAGTATCTTGGGTGCCAGGTCATCAAGCTGAGCCGACGGGTGGGGGAGAGTGGCAGAGAACATGTGGAGGAGGTGGGGGTGGAGGGAAGAGAGGGCAGGGTCGGCCAGAGTTTCAACAACCAGCGACTGGAAAAAGGGTTGAGCGATTGTGCTGAGACCGGGGCGAACTAGAGTGTCGGTGGAAGAGAGAGATCTCTTTGTGTGTTTGAAGCTGGGTGTCACGGCTGCAGGGGACGACGGGATGCACTGGGTCTCCAGTGACACAAGATTGTGGAGACAGCGTAGGAGATTGACAAAGAGAACTTGCAGTGGGGTGCTCGGGATCTCTCCAATTTTAATAACCCTACTTGAACCAACTTCTTCCACCATATGATGTGCCTTATTGCTGGCTTTAATAGGAGGGGCTTCCCCATTTAAGCCTTCGAAAGCACATTCTGTAGTGGCAGGGAATTCCCTCACGACTTGCGACAGTGTCAGAAGAAGGACTTTCTGGACGTCACAGAGAGTGACCAGGGCAGAGACGTAGCTGGGATTGTGAACAAGGCCTCTGCTGCTACCAGTAGTCCTAGAGGAGGCTTGTTGCTCAGAGGACGAGGAAGAGGAAGAGAGGATGATGGAGAACTGGTACAACAGGAACCCAATAATCTCCACTGCCGTCGACTTAACACGGAGGTTCTCAACCACGTTTGCCACAGTCACCTCCACGGCGGGGGAGTACTCAGAGCGAATGAAAGCAGCCAGAGAGAGTAGGATCACTTCCAGGAGGCTCTTTTGAGGTGTTCCACAGACAGATTGCTCGGTTGCGCCCTCGCCCCCAGCTCCATAGGTAGAGAGGTTCACTTGAGACGTGGCGAGAGAAGTAATAACAGAGACCGGATGGACGGAGAGGACTGCCTGTGTGAGACTGAGGGCATACAGGATCTGGTCAGAGTCCAGGACCTGAGTGTAGAGCAGTCTCATCTCACCCTCCTGACCCATCTCCCCCTCACTGGGGCCTGGGGAGTAAGGCGCGGTTCACAATATGTCGCATTGCCCTTGCCACGTCGCGAGTGATAGACTATCTTTGCGGCACGGGGCAAAGGGGCAATGCGACATATAGAGAACCTAGCCTAAGGGTGTAAGATTTCACAACTGCTACTGTCAGTTACACATAATACATAAAAGAAACAGACGATCAGTTACATTCAAACATTCAGATGACTAGGTACGACTGTGCACACATACTGTGGTACACGTACTGTAAATACAATATACATAAAAGTGTATTGTGAGGTATACACTTCTATAAGTGCTTTGATGATGCTCCAAGAGTAAATATTTCACTTACCTGTTGTGTGAGAGGGAGAACAGTAGTACTTCCCGGCATCTTCCGGCATCCCATTGTCTGATGGATGTCCCGAGAATGTGGCCTTCCTCTTCCCGTCCTGATCCAGGATTATCCTAACGAGAGGGGCAACGAGGGCGTGGAGTTTTCCCCTGGCAGTAGCAAAGTGGACCCACGACCCCACCAGGCCTCTGGTGGCCAGATCTCTGCTCTGTAATCCCTCCACCATCCTTAGCTGAGCCCTGCATGTAAACAACAACAACGACATGGCGAAGTGTAAACAATACGCTCATGACAACACTTTTTTTTCCAAAGATGGGATTTGAACACACGGCAGTCTGCAGTGTAGGTAGAGCACTTGCCACATTTTTTCTGCACATGCGCAGGTTTTCATCGTTTTTTCTGCGCACGCGTTGTGGAACCATTTTTTTCTGTGCATGCGCGGTCTACCCACTGAGTTGCCAGGGCAGCTCAGCAGGTAAGGGCTCAAATTTACAACACAATATATATAGTAGCAAACTCAACAAACGGTGATGTGACACAATAAACACTCATTTGTCAGAAACAGCAAATATCTCTTGTCAAAAGCATCAGTTGTCACTTGAAAATATATACCTGCCCAGCTCCAAATTTTGGTGGCTGAAGCCTATCTGGAAGTGTTTGTGTAAACTGTTTATACAGGTACACCTATGGCATACTTTTCTTATGGGATATACAGCTAACTTTTGACTTATAAGGTTTCACAGTTAGTGAAGGAGATACGTACCATCAGAGCAGGAAATTTGCAAAGATTCCAATGGTGTTAGCGTTTTCAGATAACAACGTTTTGACAATTTTCGAGGGCTCTTATAGACTTTAGAAAGGTTCTGCTCTTTGATTTTATCTTGCAACAAATGAAAATGAAAAGTGGCATGTGTTCTCTGCCGTAGCATATTTCCTACTGGTCTTTACCTGCTGAAAGGCCTGCATGGAGAACCATGAACATTGTCCGGGAGGTGCTGCCAGAGTACAGTGAACCTCTGGTAGACATCCATTCCCTGCAGTGGTGACACATCTCTGCTTTTAGGATTCTGGGCTTCTGCTGCGCGCGCGTGCATGAGGGCTAAGTTAGACACTGCGCATGCGCATAATATTCAGCCACACGTACACGTACGTATATATATATATATCCTACCTGATCTGCGCGCGTGCCGCGGTCTCTGTGAGCGGAGCTAGCTAGCTAGGGCGGCGGAGGGAGCTGCGTGCCTGAATTTTTACTAGTCGGTATGTACAATGATACTAACACATCTGTACTTCTCAACACCAACTGTAAGTTATTCGCTAAAAGGCTATAGCCGGAAACGGCACACCGCGGGGTACCGGGTGAGCTCTCCGGTATGCACATGCGCAGAGCGTCCTCGTGCCGGCGCGAGCATGATGAACGCGAACGGGCGGGCGAGCCGATGGAGCTGCCGCGCCCTCGGCGTTGTATGTTGCACTCCACCGGCACTTATATATACACTGCAGGCGAGGACCCACCGGGCCAAGCGATAGAGTCTGCGCCAATAGGCTACCGCGCGAATCGGATTTCTGTGCTACGCTATAAAAACCCCGCTGACCTGCACACCCTCTCATTCTCCCGCAGGCAGACAATGGCAAGCGACAACGACGGTCCGCCGCACGGAAAAACAAAACTAGTAAAGAAGTTTACTCCCATCGACTTCGGTCCGCTCAACGTCTACGCGGAGTCGCACATCGGAAACTTTCGCAGCGGGACCTACATGATGACTACACCCAAGGAAGACTCCCTCGTACTGTACAGACTCTACGGAGGTACGGCGAAGGAGGTGGGTCACTACTGGACGGTGGAGCCAAGAGATGGCAACGTGGGATTCCAACTGGACTATGCCATGGTCCCTTCCTGGGGGTCCACACTTGCAAAGGATACAACGCTGGAAGTCCCATCGGGGATCATGCTGTTTGAGGGCTACGTGGCATCGCAGAAGGTCCACCCCACGTCTCAGGGGTTTGGTGGAGGTGCCTGGCAGGTCCTTGTGCCCTACCCTGTGGTGGAAGCTCTCCTGAAGGCTCAGCAAGCTAAGGAAGAAGGCAAATGTGCAGCAGAAGTCAAGGAGCATGTTCTGGAGGCAAAGAAAGCCCAGGAAGAGATTCTCGACAAATATGAGAAGGAACTAAAGAAATTTGATTAGAGATCGTCTGTGCATGAAAACTTGGACAAGTAACTTTGAGATTATTCTTGCAATGTCGATTTTGTTCTTACATTATTTTGCTTATAGTTGTTGATATGCTAAACTGTATGACATTAGAGAAGGACGAAGAGGGAGAGTATGCAGGGTAGTGATTATGTCTTGATAATACATGCGTGTTAAAAGTCTGCAATGTTTGTTTCACACATACTGGGCTGCCCCAAAGTACTGTATATACGCATGGGCTGACTAATCACACACTACAAATTTACCACTATACACTAATCTTCCACGTGCGTGTATCTGTAACAATTGGCATAGTTCGTAGTGGAGAGTGGCGGGCTGACCTCAGTGGTGAACTCTCGTAGCAGTGTGGTCTCGCAGGTGTGTCCGGGGCAGAGGGTGTGGGTCCAGCACAGGAGAGACGAGGCCTCCACATGCAGGTCAGACAGAGACGGACTGAGAGCACTCCACAGATACCTCGTCACACTCTGCAGTGTGATACCATTTGTGGGAAGGTAATTCATGCAGTTTGGAACATCACACCCTATCAGACAGAAGTTCCCTATGGAATGTCTTAGGCTTGGTTCACAATATGTCGCATTGCCCTTGTCGCGCTGTGCCGCCAAGATACAAATGGATTCTATTTTCTCACAACGTGGCAACGCGGCGCGGCACGACAGGGGCATCGTGACACATTGTGAACCTAGCCTTAGTGTTTTCAAGCAAGATGGAGAATAGGTTTAGGTAGAAAGATAAAGGGAATGGTGTTTGTCTGTGGTCTGTTGAATTCTAGCAGAGACAAAAGATTTATGGTTAACTACTCAAGTTTTTAACAGGCATCAGTACTACAGAGTCTCCCAGACCTCAATAAAGGAAGAGTCCCGGGCAACAGAGGAGATATCGGGGCACAGGACACTGACAGCCGTTTTAGGAAGGCCATCACGAGACTTGGAGCAGTTGTCATGTGACAGCAGTGTGAGCAGAGTCTCCAGTGCCGTAAAGGTCACATGATAGTCATGTGATCCAGAACACACCCATTTCATACCAGGCAGCCATACAGCACCAGATGATTCTGCAAGTGCATAATTATTTGAACAGTAGCTGCACTTCATCAGTGTAAATGTAGACATGTTACTAATGCCGATATTAACACCGCGTTCGCCAAAAACCTTAAGAGAGTAAAAGGTTTACAAATGGCTTTTCGACATAACTCAATGCTTAGTGCACTTTCCGCACGTAATGAGTGGCACACCTTTACTCTCAGTCAGTAGAGATGGAGAGAGAGGCATCTGGGCCAGGGAACACACGAGGTGACACCCGCTCATAAAACACCTCCCCACACTGTCGGACAGCTTCCGTCCACACCCACCCACAGCCCCAGCTGGTGGCACTCCCGAGCTCTGGCTGCTGTACTGCATGCAGGAACCGATGAATCTCGAGAAGAAGGCAGAGAACTGTGTGAGATGTTTCCACTTTAGTTTGTCTGCGTGGCTGGCGAGGGCTGACCCTCCCAGTGGCTCTCGGTACAGAGCTGTAAGTGTATAAGATGACAGGACATAGACATCTGTATAAATATACAGCAATAATTAAAATGATGAACGTGTAGTGAAATTGCTCAAGGCTAGGCTTATCCCGAGGCATCTAACAAAAGAAGGAAGGCCTGGCACTCTATTTGTGTTTGTGCGCATGAACCAAATATTCCGGATATCTATCTACTGTAAAAGCGCTAATCAGTACACGGGTGAATAGCGTAGATGGTTTGGTGTCTGTCTCTAACCCCAGCTACGGGGTACTGTGCATATAGGTAACTACGAGCAGCCTCATAGACCGACCAGCCCTTTCTTTTACGTACTAGAAGGAATGCAATGCACCTTTGGTGAGCAAAGCGAGCAGTTCGTCAATTTTTAGCGTGTTTTTACAAATCACAGTATGTGACAATGCACATACAATTTGACTAGGAGGGCTCGCTCACCAGCCAAGTGTAGTATTCAACAATAAGCACTCATACAATATTTATCAGGACGAGGTAAGCCAGTGCGATTATGCATATTGGGATTTTCGCTTGCGTACGTATCTCTCGAACATAGTAGTTTCAGGAAAATAGCCTTTTTATTTTTCACCCACTGGTGGCTCCGAAGCCATTGGTATCACTTTATAGGCTGCCTCGTAGCCTTTAGCGCCAGAATCAGTCTCAACATACACACACGGACTATGCAACCTAAACTGCTTGTACATAGCAACAATACTGTATGTATATTACCAGCGGTAGTAGTTGTGGCAGGAGAAGAGCAGGGAGAAGCCTCCTGGACTATCTTGGCAGTGGCAAACAGCAGTAACTCCAGACAGTGCTGCAGGCTTCTTGGCTTTATGGTGAGTGGCTCTTGGGATGTGAGTGAGTGGAGGGTGTGCCAGCAGAGATGGGGCATGTGGTGGATGTACACATCTTCCATCGCTTCCTGGGACAGAATACATGAAGACATACACAAAATTATCCATTATAGTACTGAAATTTGTGAATCATGAAAACTGTTGTTCACACAACCGCTTCTGCATGACCTTTTTGCAAACAACTTTGCGGAAGTTTTTTGGGAAGCAAAGCGAGCCTAGTCGTCCGAGTGCAGGATTTTTCTATAATACGTATATTATGTGACGGCAATGCATACACTGCATACCGTGAAGGCACAGCATACACTGTATATCGTGAAGGCACAGCATACACTGCATACCGTGAAGGCACAGCATATACTGCATACCGTGAAGGCACAGCATACACTGCATACCATGAAGGCACAGCATACACTGTATATCGTGAATTTTTTTATGTGATTCCAATTACGCGTGAATACGGGCAATAATTGAACTTTTCACGCTTGCTCGCCAAAAATGAGTAGCTAGTATACTAGATATGGTATTATTGACCCCAATTCACAATTAATGTAGACGTATACCAGTGGAAGGACTTGGAGTAGGAACACGATGAGTTTGCAGGTAGCAGAACAAGAGAGCTGTACTCCTCTCTCCTCAGTCTTACCACCACCAACACTGCTCCCAGCACCCACTATCAACCTCACTGGACTTGTGGGAGAGATTGGAGAATGTAGCTCCCCCACATCACCATACAGACTCTCATGTCGTCCACCTTCCCTCTTCTCCCCCTCCTTTCCCTCGCTTCCCTCCGTCCTCAACTGTCCCCCTTCCCCCACTGTCCCTGTCATTATTGCCCTGGTGAGCAGTGACTCCATCCACTGCCACAGCTGCTCCGGAGCCAGACAGTTGAAAAAGAGGTTCGCAGACTGTAAAATTTCCACTTTGTGCGACTTTTTCCCAGTCTTCTTACTAGAACCATCCTTCACAGACGACTTACTGCTACGAGTGCTAGTCTTCGTTGACGATTTCTCCGTTGAAAACCCGCCGAGGCTCTCAACTTGGATTTTCAAACATGTGCTCAGGTCAGGGAGTATATCGACCACAATATAATCTCCAATCTCGGGTTTGTCCATGAGCGAGCGCAGGAGGCGATAGGGAAGGACAGAGTCCGAGACGGCCGCAGAGTGTCTCGTAGCTTGTGAGGCGGAGGCGATGATCGACCGCAGGGCAGAGAGGAGGTGGGTTCTGGCGAACTTGTCAAAGTATAGAGTCTGAGCTGATTCTTGGTCTGCGGCTCCCTTTGCCACCTCGGGAAAATGTGTCTCCAGGTAGGTCTTGTCTGTCTGCCAGTAACAGAAAACACTACATTTATTCACGTATTTCAAAGTCACAAATCTATTTTGTGCGTGGTCTGGGGCCACACGAGATTTAAAGATTTGCGTGCAGCTACAACTAACATGTGCATATAACACGTGTACTGACTACATTAAAAAACAGCATGTGTGTAAAAAAGATTTCAGAAGAATTTCCAAAGCAAAAAGACTCAGACCTGGGTTCCGAGAAGCCAAGAGTAGAGGCGCCGGTTGAGGGACATGTCTCTCCTGAGTAGAGTGAGGAGGGCAGAGGAGAGAAGGAGGATGAGGTCAGAGGGCGGGAGGAAGGGGCGGTGGAGGGGGAAGAGGGCGAGAATCACGTCGAGAGTGGCTCTGGACACCAGCACACTCTTGTCCTGGAGAGCCCCACAGAGAGCAGAGACCTGCAGAATTACGTAACATTATGTAGCACTCAGTGCACTGCAGGAAACATGTTGTCAATAGGAATAGCATTCTAGTATAGTTACAATGGAAACCTTAACTTTTCGTACTGTAAAGGGAATGTGTCAATACGTAATATGTTACTAAAGATGTAGGGCTCAGTGTAAGAATGAAATTAAGTTTCATTTTAGTATATAACAGTTTCTTGAACCAAGAAGGCAGTGCAAAGAATAGTATGTCCCCTCCCTCAAACAGGTGAATTTTCAGTCAGAGTCTAGAAGGGTACTTGGTAAACGTTCAAGATATTATTTAGGAACTCTACTTTAACATTCACTGCACTCTCCAGCTATAATGTAAGGGTTAAGGATAGTAGGTAGGCCAATTCTTAGCTCTGACTTCATTTCGGCCACCTTTATAAACCTAGACATTTGCACTGCACTCTCAAGTTACAGTCAAAGTATTGCGCAAGTTAGGTTGGACTATCCTTTGTACGCCTTCTTGGAAAAAGTACGAGAATTTATGCCACCCGATTTTAAATATTCGCTGCACTCTCCAGCTATAGTGAAAGTATTTAGGATGGTAGATGGGCCAAATCTTTGTACTATCGTCTTGGTAAAAGTACGAGAAATTTATGCCACACTATTTTAAATATTCGCTGCACTCTCCAGCTATAGTGAAAGTATTTAGGATGGTAGATGGGCCAAATCTTTGTACTATCGTCTTGGTAAAAGTACGAGAAATTTATGCCACACTATTTTAAATATTCGCTGCACTCTCCAGCTATAGTGAAAGTATTTAGGATGGTAGATGGGCCAAATCTTTGTACTATCGTCTTGGTAAAAGTACGAGAAATTTATGCCACACTATTTTAAATATTCGCTGCACTCTCCAGCTATAGTGAAAGTATTTAGGATGGTAGATGGGCCAAATCTTTGTACTATCGTCTTGGTAAAAGTACGAGAAATTTATGCCACACTATTTTAAATATTCGCTGCACTCTCCAGCTATAGTGAAAGTATTTAGGATGGTAGATGGGCCAAATCTTTGTACTATCGTCTTGGTAAAAGTACGAGAAATTTATGCCACACTATTTTAAATATTCGCTGCACTCTCCAGCTATAGTGAAAGTATTTAGGATGGTGGATGGACCAAATCTTTGTACTATCGTCTTGGTAAAAGTACGAGAAATTTATGCCACCCTATTTTAAATATTCGCTGCACTCTCCAGCTATAGTGAAAGTATTTAGGATGGTAGATGGGCCAAATCTTTGTACTATCGTCTTGGTAAAAGTACGAGAAATTTATGCCACACTATTTTAAATATTCGCTGCACTCTCCAGCTATAGTGAAAGTATTTAGGATGGTAGATGGGCCAAATCTTTGTACTATCGTCTTGGTAAAAGTACGAGAAATTTATGCCACACTATTTTAAATATTCGCTGCACTCTCCAGCTATAGTGAAAGTATTTAGGATGGTA